ACATTCTAAAAGCTCTTTATTCCAAATATACTACAAGCTAGTCAGTGTATTCAGTAGGTGTAATGTATTGTAAGTTGCTTCAGAGGTATTGCAAGTATTACATACAACAATAATAAAACAGTGCATTGACATAAATAAGGACATTTACTTTTGGTACTTAAGTACTTTTAAAAGCAAGTACTTCTGTACTTTTACTTAAGTAAAAATCTGTCTTTACAACTTTTACTTGTAATGGAGTAATATTTGACCAGCAGTATCTGTACTTTCACTTAAGTAATGGAGTTTTGTACTTTGTCTGCCTCTGCCTGCCAGAAAGAATACGCCACACACACACACACATACATACATACATAGTAATCCATTACAGCAGTATTGTTACTGTGTCTCTGAGCTTTTTTAATAGATGCAAATAAAGTAAATGATTTGTTGAAAATGTAATAATAATAATAGTCTAAAATAATAATAATCTATAATAATATCATAAAAACAATAATTTTCTTAAACAGTCTCATTTACACTTTATTTTCAATTTCAGTATCACTTTACTGTAATTACACAAATAAGTATTGAGAACGTAATTAGCTACAAGTATTTACTATATGGTTAAGTTTAGAGTTGCTTGTAATAATGCATAATTTACTCTTATTACTAATACTAGTAAGTATATGTAACGTGTAACTGTATCACCTTAAAATAAAGTGTTACCATTGTCTTAATATTCTCTAAGCTCTAAACTAATTGCATCTGTTTTATGGGACATTATAACTCTATTGCATGTCTGCTAAATGTAGTAAGGCAAGGCAAGTTTATTTATACAGCACATTTCATACACAATGGTAATTCAAAGTGCTTTACATAAAAGAAAAGAAAATAATAATACAAGGAATTTCAAAACTTTGAAAATGATTTAAAATTTGATTTAAAAGGTTTAAAATGAATTTAAAACAGTTAAGAATAGAAAAAGATTATACATAAAATATAGTGCAATCTATATAGTGCAATCTATAAAAATAGTAACTTGTCATCACGTGACCTGTACTGGTCAAAATGTTTAGATGTTTTTTCAACATCAACCATGGAAATTATTGTTACATACAAATTTCATTTTGGTCCTTTTATTTGTTTATTTTTATTTATTTATTTTTTTTACTGTCTGTTTTGTGTAGCTGAATGCTATTGTGTATCACACTGATCTGAGGTACAGATTTCAACAGCAGATAAAAGTTTACTGTGAATACTGGTCAATACTTTAGTATGCAGAAAAAAATAAGCACATTTGTATTTATACACTATTTTTATTTTTGTATCAATGTGTTACACATAAACAGAAAACATTATGGAAGATACATGTATGTCTGACAATTTTTTAATTGTCAGAACTGAATCATTTTGCATGTGATAGTGAAAAGAATGTTTAGAAGTTGTGAAGAGTATGACAGTTTCACCATGTGAATTTAGTCATTGTGTAAACTGTAGACAATTGTCTTGCCCCCTTTGTACACGTGCCAAAACACACAATTGCTTGAATTAGAAATTCAAATCTGGTGTGAACAAGAAACGTCTCGGTTACGTATGTCACCCTCGTTCCCTGAAGGAGGGAACGGAGACATCACGTCGATGACCAAAGAATTGGGGATCTCACTAGAGAGACCAATCTTCTTTGAGTGTACACTTAACGAGCCAATTCATATTGGCATGCGATGATTGCATCCAGCTGCCACTGATCGCAGCACGAGTATAAATAGGCAGCAGGTGTAACGCATTCTCAGGTGATTTGGCCGCTCAGCGGTGGTACAGCAGCTGTGGCGACGGGATGTGACATCTCCATTCCCTCCTTCAGGGAACGATGGATACATATGTAACCAAGATGTTCCCTTTCAGTCGGTCACTTTCAATGTCACATCGATAACTGACGAATTGGGGATCCCTACCAAAGTGCCATGGATGCTGCCCCTTCCAGTGTCCTGTGCGAGCCTTCTGCGCCCCTTTGGGTGTAAGCTAGGGCTCGCAGGAGGAAGACCAGTCACTGTTGTCTTAGCACTACCCACTCAGTGAGATTGGATAACACTGGGAAAACATACCCATTCCACTTGAAGCAGGAACTTTGCGGAAGCCCCATCCTTTCCGAAGGAGGTTTCGTAAGCACTTACAATAGGAAAGAGGAGAAATAAAAAGCGATACTTATCCTTTGCCGGTGTCCCTGCCCGGTGTAGTCGCACGGTAGAGTCGATGGTCTTTACACTCTTTGGTCTGCACACGAGGAGGCCTCCACGCGACGGCTGCCGCGACCGCTGTCGTGGTAAACTAAGCTTTTTTATACCCGTCTAACAAAATGCTAAATTCATTCAGCTGGACACACTTTCCTTATTTTCTCCACAACAAATGGCCAAGCAAGCACAGACACTGACAAGATACGCGATACAGAACGAGACCAAACGCGATATCAGCACGTCTCCACACAGTAATACATATAGGTAACTGTTTAGATACATATGGAAGATTAAGAGGTAGTTGTAACCCTCTTGAGGAATGGCAGAGAAGTCTGCCGGAGAAACACAGGCTTCAAGCTATACCGTGGAGAATACACATATGGGATCCACATAGATCACTATGGCACCCAGCCCTATACCGGTTCTCACGGATTCATTGAGTGAGGGCCTGGCACCAGATGCTCCACCATGTCTGGCTGCCGAGGGTGATGGAGGTGCTTGACAGGGTCTACAGTATGGACACTCTGGAGCAATTTAGCAAGCCGACACTAAGCCGGGGCCTCTCGGTGCTTCTACCCATTTAAGGTGAGAACACAGGAGGATACCGGCTCAACACGAAGGCTATAGAATCTAGCAAATGTGTTGGGGGTCGCCTAGCCTGCAGCTCTACAAATATCTGTCAGCAAGGCGCCATGAGTCAGCACCCAGGACGATGCAACATTTCTGGTAGAGTGAGCACGCAACCTGAGCAGGGCCTTGCACAGGCCTTGCCCTGTGCCTGATAAGCCAGGGTGATGGCATCCACTATCCAGTAGGCCATCCTCTGCTTGTAGATGGCATTCCCCTTCTGCAGGCCTCTGTAACAGAAAAAGAGCTGTTCTGAGGTCCTGAAGCTTTGTGTCCGGTCCACGTACCATCTTAAGGTGCAGACAGGACAGAGCAAAGCCAGGGCTGGGTCTGCCTCCTCCGGGGGCAGTGCTTGTAGATTTACTACCTGATCCCTGAAGGGGTAGTAGGACCCTTGGACACATAGCCGGGCCGGGGGCCTCAGGGTTACCTGGGAGTCAGCCAGATTCGTCGACCAAAAATGTGTGCAGGTCCCCTACCTTCTTGATGGAAGCCAAAGCAACAAGGAGCAGAGTTTTCATTGTAAGAACCTTTAGCTCGACTGACTGCAAAGACTGCAAAGAATGGGCCCTGCTGTAATGCTCTTAGCACCAGATTCAGGTCCCAAGAGAGTATAGAGGGAGGACGAGGACCTTCTCGCCTCCCTAGGGAACCTGATGACCAGGTTGTGCTTCCCTACCGTCTTCCCCTCTACGCAGTTGTGGTTGGCAGAAATAGCTGCAACGTAGACTTTAAGGGTGGAGTGAGACCGCATTCGCTCCAGCCCTTGCTGCAGGAAAGAAAGCACAACTGTGATCGGGCACCTCCAGGGGCCCTCTCAATGAGAAAAACACCACTCGATGAACAGGTTCCACTTCAAGGTGTAAGCATGTGCCGAAGTGACGGTGTCCTCTATCTGTTGGGGTAGGTCACCTATAACCTCCGCGTCCCATCCAGGGACCAGACATGGAGTTTCCATAGGTCCGGATGCAGGTGCCACAGGGTGCCCCGTCTCTGAGAAAGTAGATCCTTCCTCAGAGGAATCTGCCAGGGAGGGGATGTCCCGAGGAGCATCAGTTCTGGGAACCAGGTCCGCTTGGGCCAGTAGAGTGCAATGAGCAAGACCTGCTCCTCGTCCTCCCTGACTTTGCAAGCGCTCTCATATGAAGTAGCCCCAGCAGCATGACTGCTGCTGCAGCTGCCATACGCCCAAGGAGCCTCTGAATTTTTTTTAGTGGGACCACTGTCCTGCCTTTGAATGAATTCAAGCAGTTCAACACCGACTGAGCACGTTCCTCTGTGAGGTGTGCTGTCTGTTCGACCGAATTTAACTCCATATCGAGAAAAGAGATCCTTTGCATCAGGGAGAATTTGCTCTTTTCCCAGTTTACCCGAAGACCCAACTGGCTGAGGTGCCTGAGCACCAGGTCCCTGTGCTTGCACAACTGATCCAGAAACTGTGCTAGTATGAGCCAGTTGAGGAATGCGAACACCTTGCTATCTCAGGGGAACAAGTGACCCATCCTCAACTTTTGTGAAGACACAGGGAGACAGGGACAGCCGGAAGGGCAGGGCCTTGTACTGATATGCTCATCTTTCAAACGTGAACCACAGAAATGATCTGTGGCACGGAAGGATCGAGACATGAAAGTACGTGTCCTCCAGGTGATCGCTGCAAACCAATCTCGGGATTGATGCACCCGAAGATGCGTTCCTGTGTTAACTTTTTGAACGGTAGCCCGTGAAGGGACCGGTTCAAGAGACGCATGTCCAAAATTGGTCGTAACCCACCGCCTTTCTTGAGCACAATGAAGTAGGGGCTTTAAAACCTCGACTTCATATCGGCTGGAGGGACCGGCTCTATCGCATCCTTCGCCAGTAGGACTGCGATCTCTGCATGCAAGACATGAGCATTGGCTGCCTTTACTGATGTGAAGTGGATGCCCCTGAACTTGGGGGTATGCTGGGTGAAATTAATCGCATAGCTGAGTCTGATGGTCCTCAAACTCAAAACACACGGCAGCAACAAACAGGAAGTGACGTAAAAAATGGTCCAAAGGAGCCAGCGAGACGTGCTGGGCAGTGCTAGCCAGGCTCCCAGAAACCATGCAAGCGGGACCAGCGGAACCACCGACGTACCTGCAGAGGGGCAGCGAGGTGGAACTCAGGGACCCAACTTGGGTGGTCCAAAGCGAGGTCTGAGTGTGCAGTGCAACATTTACCAGGTTCCACGTTTGGGCAGAGGGTGCGTGAGTAGGGCCTTTGATAGTGCTCTTGAACCGCCCACTGCTGCCCGCTGCGGCCGGCGGACGGGTGGAGGCAGCAGCTGTAGCCTCGGAGGGGTAGCCGTCACTGTGATCCTCAGATAGCACGAGCTACTGCCTGAAGTAGTCCTCCCCTGACTTCTGCCAGGAAGAGAACTAAATCGAGGCAAAGGCACCGCAACTCTGGGATGGTCGTGTTCCCGCAATGAGAACATGACTCATCCACAAGCGCAAACTCAGCGTGCTTAATGCCCAGGAACGTGAGGCAGCGATCGTAACCATCACCCAGCGTCAGGTAATGACTGCATCCAGAAACGTGAATGTGAATGCTGTTTTAGGGAAAAAGGCCCTTTTAGCATGCTGAAGCACACAAGGGAGATGGCCGCCTGCAACACAAACAGGGGGTAGTGCAGCCTGATGTGGGCAATCCACTCTGACACAGGAAAACAAATACTGCTGTAGCGCTGTTCCAACAACACAAAGAAGCTCCCTTGGAGTGAGCTGAACTCGTCTCGTTCACAGAAGAGGCATGGTAAGAGCAGAACGATTGATACCGCTCAGCTCCAAAGTGAAAAGCTGAGTATGCGTTGTACCTGCTGCCTATTTATACGGCAGCCGGATGCAATCATTGCATGTCAATATGCATTGGCTTGTTTAGTTTACACTCAAAGTAGATTAGTCTCTCTAGAGAGATCCCCAATTGTTGGACATCGATGTGACATCGAAAGTGACCGACTGAAAGGGAACTAATTGTTCAGAGAGCTGTTGTTTTGAACGAAATAAAAGAAATCAATAATTCTCATTTGAGAATTGAACCAAAGTGATTGAGTAAAACTGTAAATAATTATAAATGCATCACGTAACTGCAAACTGCATTTTTACACAGGAGTGATCCTGCGATTCAGGCTGTCCTTCACATCTTTAGAAACACGGTTGTGGACTTGCAGAAAGTTGGGATGTTCAAAATCAGTGTTATAGGACGCCAGAGAACCTGCCTTTAGTGGATGTTCTCTCCCCACCGTATACATTAAAATGTCCCCCAAAGGCAGTGAGGAGCCGGTGATGCTAAGTGTGGCAAGGGAAGTGTTTTTAGATGGCTCTCTGGACTGAGAACAGGACTGAGACCGTTGTTGTCTGTAATGGTAACTTGGAATGCTTGTGTAGGGAGAGGATGAAGGGGAAGGGACAGTTTTAACAAACTCAAAGTGTTTGAAATGAGCCTCTTTGTTCTTTTCAATGTAGATGTTGACAGCCAACACACCGATGACCTCCGCCACAATGAAGGAGAGTACACCTGAGTAGAAGGACCATCCATAGCTGTACAGGTTTTTCTTATCTTCTCCTTTCTTATCAATAGGGTCTCCGGCATTACTGGAGATGTAAACAATGATGCCGATGATATTGCTAAGGCCTGATGAAAAGTAACAAATATATATATATATATATATATATATAAAAGGTTCTAATTGGATTACTCACATAATCTAGCCATAATCTTGTCAAATCATGACTAAATGTGACCCTGGACCACAAAACCAGTCTTAATGTCAATTTTTCGAAAATGAGATGTATATATATAAAATCTGGAATCTGAGGGTGCAAAAAAAAAAATCTAAATATTGTGAAAATCACCTTTAAAGCTGTCCAAATGAAGTCCTGGAAAAACTGAAGTTTTGATATATTCACGGTAGGAAATTTCCAAAATATCTTCATGGAACATGATCTTTACTTAATATCCTAATGATTTTTGGCATAAAAGAAAAATCTATAATTTTGACCCATACAATGTATTTTTGGCTATTGCTACAAATATACCCGTGCTACTTAAAACTGGTTTTGTGGTCCAGAGTCACACATTTTTTCTTAATTCCAAGCTGAGAATCTTGACAGTTCTCATAGAATGCACTTTCATAATGTCTGCTACAGTCATGCAACAATTATTTTATTGAAAATCTTGTAAAGTTTAACATTTTAGTGAAAAAATGTCAAACATACGTAATGGGTTTTTAAGTTGATTGAGCGCATCAATGAATTAATCGAGTTAAAAAGACATGTTATGCATATATGCATTATTTCAAAGATATTTTTGCAGAAAACATGCAGAAAATTAAATTAGCAAAATTAATCTTAAAAATGTATAATGTATTTATGTCTTGTTTCTTTACCTCCATGCATGTATGGCAATTCTGCTTTTTTAATTAAAAATACATTGATATGCTATAATTACTAAACTTGTGATTTGTAATTGAAGACTCCTGAAAGTTAAGAATACTGTTAATGGCAAGTGCTGTACCTGCAGATACAAATAGGATTCCTGCACTCAAGAGAATGTTATTCCTGCTGCTATAAATCTGGCCCAGCCCGACACAAAGTCCCCCCAAAAGAAGTAGGATGGTACTCAGGATGGGGAAGAGACTGGATGCTCGCACTAATCCTGCAACACACAAAGGCATAGACAATCATTATAGGCATTATACACACACACTAGCTAACATTATTACACATCATATTGAAACAAATGGCCTATACAGATAAAATAAATTTAATTCTTCTTTAATTCTTTATTTTTTTCATACAGACCAGTGGTGGAATACCACTTTGAATCGTTCTTTATGATGAAGAAAATGAACTCACGGAGGAGATACTCTGAGCTGTCTGTGTCATAGTCATTATCCACAGAAAAATGATTGATCCAATAGCAGCTCCCATTGTTGATCCCTGTGCCAAACATAGGTGATGCTGAATTTTATGTAATGAAACTATGATGTTTCAATTGAGTGTGTTTCGCTCTTCTATGTATTCATATACATTTACTATTAAAAGAAAATCTGACACATTTGTCCCAAAAGCAGTAACATTCGTTTAATTCAATCATGTTCCGATGGAACTGCTCCACACCAATTTATTTCATTTAAAGATTGCACTACCTTACAAGATAAACATAATTCCATTTTGTTTAGACCCACTGTTTAGACCTAGCTTAGTTTATATAGTTCTCCTTTTTATATTTCTTTTGTGTGACCTTAATCCAAAATGTCTCTTAATTTATTATTAAACTTTTATTTAATCTTAATTAATATTAATATTACTTTATGCAAATATATATATAACATTTTGTTAAATATCTATGCCACAAGTATTTTCTCGTTTCCATTTTCATCATCTTTTACCATCTGCTTTCTCAGTGACTTTCTTTAAAGTCACATCTAAGGACAGAATAAATTATTAATTATTATTATTATTAACTATCTCAAATAAACAGCCAATATTGTGTGTGTGACATGCATTGTCAAACCTGTTCTTCGGTATTTCTACCTGAAAATTCATTTGATGGTCAACGTTTTAAAAGGATTATTCAAAAGACAAATGAAAGAGCCTCTGGTGCAATCTTGCCTTTTGAAGCTAGACTCTCATTAATGCACAAGAGAAGAAAGAATAGTTTTGCAGTTATGATTTTGACTGAGATTTGTTTTGAAAAGTAAAAAGGACTGATTCAAAAATTCACCGGCATGTAGAACTTAAAATATTTTTAATTGGGCAGCATTTTCAACACTACTAAATACATTTTAGTATATTATATGAATATGAATTTGTAGCTGCAAAGTTTATACATTACCAGTATTTTGAGGGTTTAGTGACTGATTAAATCCGTGAACATAACATGTAAAGTTTTCATTCATGTCATAGTATATGATTTTAGATTCTAATTCCTTTTTTTCTTTTGGAATCTTCATTTTCAAGGCCCTACATTTTAAATGCATTTAATAAGACCACTCCCCTATAACAGAAATTACAACTTTTATTTCTAATTGCAACTACTAGTCTACATATTAAAATTCAGCCCATCCATTTACCTTCGATACAGCAGATCCTCCAAAGTCCAGAATGCGTGAGATCGCCTCGTGTTTTCTTTGGCTGCTGCGAGGTGTGGGTTTCATCTGTTGCGTTGGTCGTGTTACAGATGTGAGCTCTAGAGTAGAGCCAGAAGTCGGTTCCGATCGCGACAGTCATCAAGCTGATCGCTACGAACGCGCCCAGGCTCGTCGAAACAATCTGAACGCCACGATCACACCAAGCCATGACAGCGGAGACTGGACTGAACTGAGCACATCAAGACAACTTCACAGTACATTTCACATACCTCTTATGCGTGTCTAAATTCAGCCACGCATGATGAGCACGTCAAACTTTTGTTTTGTTTTTTTTTTTCGTTTCATCCGCTCAAATGAACTCAGGTTTTTAATCGGGAAAATAAATTGTGAAAGTAAATATAAATAAAAATAGAATAGTTGATTTTGTATATTATATCAACAACACTTTTTTAAACTAAAAGTCATATACACATTTAGCTATACATTAGCTACAGTTGAAGACAAAATTATTAGCCACCCTATGAAATTTCAGTTCTTTTTCAGATATTTCCCAAGTGATGATTAACAGAGCAAGGGAATTTTAACACAGTATTTCTTATTATATTTTTCATCTGGAGAAAGCTTTATTTATTTCAATTTGCCTGGAATAAAAATAATATTTTTTTTTTTTTTTAATTGCTAAGGTCAATATTATTAGCCCTCTTAAGAAATTATCTTGTTGATTGGCTATGGAACAAACCACTGTTGTCCAATGACTTGCCCAACTAACCTAACTAACTTGTCAAATTAACCTAATTAATCCACTAAGCCTTTATATTGCACTGTAAACTGAAGATCTTGCAAAACAACTAGTAAAATAATATGTACTACTGTCATAATGGCAAAGACAAAAAAAAATAGTTTAGGCTCGAGAAAAAGAATTGTCAATGTTCACAAAGGAGGAGAAGCACATACACATTTATCAAAGCGTTTTCAAGTGTCAAGAACAGCCGTGAGAAGAAGTATTATCAAGAAGTTTGAAGAGACCCACACAGTGGAGAACAGAGACGGGAAGTGAAAGATTTCAAAAACTTTATAAAGAAAACTAGTGAGAGCGGTTTCTAAAAAGGCCCAAGAACAACTGCCAAGACACTAGTGAATGATTTAGCCAAGTCTGGGATTGAGATCTCAATGAAGATGTCAGTAGAGGCCTGCACAGGAATGGACTGCGAGGTTGCAGACCAAGAAAAAATCCACTTCTGAAGAAGAGACACCTCCAAGCTAGACTGAAGTTTGAAGGACAACCTAGAGAAAACTATGTATACTAGAAACGTGTCCTTTGGTCAGATGAGACAAAAATAGAGCTCTTTGGCCATAGAGATGTTGCCTATGTTTGGAGAAAGAAGGGAAAGGTGCTCAACCCAAAGAACACCATCTCCAGAGTGAAACATGGCAGTGGGAGTGGGTATGTTTCAGTGCGTTTGGAACTGGGAATCTCGTCAGGGTCAAAGGAATCATGAAAACGGAAGACTACGAGAAGATTTTGAAAGACAACCTCAGGCAATCTGCAACAAAACATGGTTTGGGTCGACGTTTTGTCTTCCAGCATGATAGCGACTCAAAGCATACCTCATTTCTGGTGTAGAACTACCTCCAAATGAGCAAAGTAAACGTCCTTAACTGGCCTGCACAAAGCCCAGACTTGAAATCAATACAAAATCTGTGGGGCAACCTGAAGACCAGAGTCCATGCTAGGAGACCAACAAATCTGGAGGAGCTTGAGAGATTTGCTAAGGAAGACTCCTCAGGAGACATGCCTGAAACTTGCTGAGAACTACAACACACGACTAAAGACTGTTATCAAGAACAAGGGATACACCATTGACTATAAACATCAGAGGGCTAATAATTTTGACCTGTAGACTTTTTTATTCTTGGTTATAATTTTGTTTCTATTTGTATTACAAACATCCCAAGCTTCCTAAATAAACTATTATGTTTAGAAATGCTGTGTTGAAAAAAATCTCTCTGTTAAACAGCACTTGGGAATTATTTTAAAAAATAATGAAATATTTTATAGGGGGCTAATAATTTTGTCTTCAACTGTACATAAATGTTTATCCAGAAGGGTTTCTTACCACAATAGGGACCATCTTAGCCCTTATCCCTATAATTTTTAAGAGACATAGAGAATGGGAGAATACCCCAATGGGTATTTTCAGATTTTATTTTAATTATTATTTTTTTGTTATAACCATTGTAAACTTAACCTTCCAATTTAAGCGATGCAGATGTATTTGTACCGTACAAATACATCTGCATCACTTAAATGGGAAGGTTAAGTTGTACGCCGACCTCTACAGAGCTTATGCTTAAATTAATAATAAACATTAATAAATTAAACTACATTTCATGAAACTACATGATTAACATGGTCACGTGGTCAGGCTAGACGTGCAGACCCGAAAATTGGGTCTCCACCAACGACCCATCTCAAGATGCACGTAAACTGAAAATGTACAATGCATTCAGTGGTTACAACTGATTATATATATATATATATTTTTTTTTTTTTCTATTGGAAAGACTTTTTAATTTGTGGAACCAAATAAACAAACTTAAATCTAGCACTGTCTACTGGAAGCTTAAGCATTCTTTAATTCAAAAGGTATATCAAGAAAATATTGTTTGCAATAATAATAAAAATTTAAATAATCCTAAACAAACTGTACAACCTTGTCTGAATTTTCTCTGAATGGTAAATTAACAAACCAAGAATTATTTCCAAAAAACTTTAATGTGGATGCTGGAGCAACATCAGAATAGTATGCATTTTTTTCAATAATGTTTAAATGTAATACAAGGCATTTACTTCAGGCTTCATATGGAGTTTAGAGTGATTTTTTTTTTGGACATAAACTACTGCCAGAGGTCACAAACACAATAGTGCTGGCCACATTGTTGTCAATAACAGAATTTAAACAGAAGCATTAACAGCAAATGTTTATTTAACATTTGTTTAATCAAATGTTTCACGGTGAAAAAAAAAAGGTGTACCAAAGACTCCCTGACAGGCTCTACTGGAGGTTGTGGATCATCTCTTCCTTGGCAATGAGATGAGTAGTTTTGTTGACAAGAGACATGAGAGAGTTCAGTTTTTGAGACCAGTCATTCAGAAGATCGTTAGGGTCCTTAGGCCGCTGGAAATTAATGATACCAGCGAGGCGGTCCACTTTCGCATAGATGGTCTTATTGACCACCAGGTTAGATAAGAACTCTTCTGATTCCTACAAGAAGAATACATATTTAAGTTGTCAACATTTGTTGAAATGTTTTACATTTTGATTAGCTATTATTGAGAGAGATTGGGAAAAACATTAAAGCCTTGATCAATAGCCTTAAAAGAAACAAACAAAAAGAAAGAAAGAAAGAAAGCAAGAAAGAATAACATCAAGTAAGTTATATATTATTTCAGTACAGAACTCACATCAACAGAGAGGTCGAGCAGGGCTGCCATTCTCCCCATCGTGATGCTTGTGTAATACTTCGCCATTATTCTGATGTTCTGGTAATGGAGAGACAGACAGTTATCAATTAGCAGTGGAATGAAACGGACAGCACAAATCATGGTTCAAAACACAACTAGATTAGTACATTTCTAGTTTTATTTCCCTTTTTGCCAAAAATGTATAACACTGAAATTAAGATGTTAAAGTAATAATATTATTCTAAAAACTAGTATTTTGCAAACTATGCAACCTTTAAATGCATTTTATAGCATTATAAGCCCTTACATGATCATCTTAATTTTTGGTCTCATCCTCATACAAAGCTACTGCATGGCTTATATTTATATAAAGAGTCCATTAGTCCAAATTTATGACACTTTAGGTCTATTTTGAAGCTTGAAAGCCCCAGCGTCCATTCTGTGAAAATGCATGGAAAAGAGCAACTAGTACAACACTTTATAATCGTCCTTTTGTGTCCCATGGAAGTCAGTCATGGGATTTGAATAACTACAATAATAATTAATGAGAATTTACATTTGGTGTTGAATTATTCTTTTAAGAGCGTGACAGGCTAAAAACAGATATAAACAATTAGGCTTCCCATTTCAGCAAAAATAAGACCAACTCACATGTTCTACCACTCTGTTTTTCAGATCTTTCCATCTCTTTTCTCCCTCTTCTGACTGGTTGAAGACGTCAGTGTCCGGAGTTTCCATGGAACCCTCCCTCAGTTCCTTTCCATAATCCTCCACTACAGATGACCAGCGCATCAGCTCCATGGTGGTGAACTGTTTCAGGAGATCCCTGCAAGGGAGTGTTGAGAAAGGTAAACTCTTCTACCTAACATGCTTGCAACATCCCTGAACTCTTGCAGAAACTCCCAGTATGTTTTGGATCTTTTACCTGTATTTGGGTATTTCCTCCAGTTTCTTGTCAATGCTGATTCGATGAACTAAATCAGACTGTTCATTGTCATAGGGTGCCAAAATCACATAGAGCACTACACTCTTCAGAGCCTGAAAGATACATGGGACATTTTCAGTTTTAAATAAAACTAGATTGCAAATGAAAAGTTTGCATTACTAAAGTAAGCAGCAAAGCTAAATAAGCAAGACAAGAATTATAATGCCAATATAAAGGTACCTGCTGCCATTTGGAGGCGTCTTCCAGAATACAAGGAGTGTCATATATGGCTCTGTAATGTTTACATATGGACAGGTAGGAGCCTTCGTGCTGATCAACTTGAATCATCAGATTATAATATTTCAGTTTCAAATCCTAAACATTAAAGAAAATCAAACTGTTATAAAAATGGAATAACTAAACACACCACCCACAAAGATTATTAACTGACAAGAAATCGGAGTAAATAGAAGACTAGAACAGAAGTTCCTTCAGAAAGAGAATGACAACCTCACTGCCTTCCTCCTGGAAGAATTTAGTGCTGATCTTTTTGCTAATGATCTGTGTTCGAATGTAGTCCTTGACAGCAATGCACAGCCTCATCTGCTCCAGAATGAACTCAGCCTTCTCCTTCTTCTCCATTGATCCATATGTCTCCACCTGCAGAGGGTTAGAATGTTAAGAAATGTCTATTCAAACCAAGTGTGAATGCGCCAGGTTAAAGGAAACAAATTCAGGCTGAGAAAGTAAAAGTTGCACCAAGAGCACACTTTTAATATTAACATGATGATTACATAATAATCAACATATGGCATGCTTGTTTATCAGGAAATGTGCTTCTTAAATAAAATAAAATAAATTAAACTAAC